CTCTTTAAACCTTGTGAGGATAGTAATTAGTTAAGGATATATAATTGGTTTTGCTCAACCACATTATGGTTCAATTTTCACATGTTCTTTCTAAATCGGGACGCTGAATTTTAAGGACTGCTTCATAAACGTGTGACCAGCAAATAATGTCATAGTAGTGGTCTGGACTTGAACAATATTAAAATCAGCTTTGAACAGTAGGCAAGACTCTCCTACCTCTAACGGCCCTCCAAACGCATTGATGAATTCGCCGATGGCAGAAAACGTCTGAAAATATGTGCAGCAATTCACAAAGACCTTCACGCCTATATGCCGAACGTTTGACTCGTACCGTGCTGAAATAAGCAGCAGGTTTTCAAGTGAACTTCAGACTTTTTTAAACGCCCTTGAATTTGCTGTTATTTTTTCTCTCTCTGGCTTTCTTTTGACAACTTGCTGATGCAGACAGTTTGGGAATGCCTCTTTTTGTCCACTGCGACTTTTGCACCATTTTTTTGAAACTACTTCTCTGGAAACAATGGAAAGAATTTTGTATGTGAATGATTTTGGGAAGAATTCGATTTTATTGCGAGGTCACTGAGGCACGTGTAGAAGGGGAAAGGCCGATCGCGTAGTGACAGCGACGCTAGTGGAGTAACGTAGAACCAGGAACCGCCACTCGGATTCAAAGGATTCATGTGCTAAACAGTTATAAAATGCCTTCTCAAGCTGGGAGAATATGTACTTGGTCCTGCAGACAAAGACAATGTTTGAGAGCTACGGTTTCTGGCGCGGTTTTCGATTTAGTAATCATGAATGAGGAATTATTCACGCATTTTTCAGCTTAATAAGTCAGTATTTGCAAGTGAAATCAGAGAAAAATTACGCTGTTCCCGTGAAAACCAACCCAACATCTCTAGCGGGATGGTGAAGAGAGGTTTCTGTAATGTCCGAAAGAATTTCCACGAAGCTCGGTTGACGCGCGTGTGGCGAATGAAGATTTCTGAACAAAAACGACATAAGATTTTCATCAGTCATCTTCCATCCATTACTCAATAAAGTACACTCCAGTACTGTTTTTTCTGCACTACGTCTTTAGTTCCGCATTTGCATGCGACTCGCAAGGCAAAAATGTTTTGCTACTAACAACCCATGCGCGCGGTTAAGCGTATGGCTATTTGCGGTGCTTCTACCGCTTGCCTTAGTTGTTGCCCATAACAGATGGTGGGTCCACTGTTGCGATTATGCTTCCTGGCCAGCTCCCGCGTGCAAACAGTATGGAACGGAATACAGTAGCATATTTTTCCTGCGGACTCCTCTGCCGAAGGAGTGGATGCGTTTATTCTTCAACCACCAGGAGAATAGCGCATGCACGCTTTTATTTGAGAGCACCATTATCCGGAAGGATAGATTGCTGTTCAGGAAAAATGGCATGGGGGAACACATCATGAGGAATGTTTCATGCTTCAGCGAAAGCACCTCTAAGGTCACTGAAATACAGGGGACCTCAAACCTCGCCAGCAG